TTTTATGTGTATATCTTTTAGCCTCTTGTAGAAGAAGCAGTTCCTAATCTTCACAGCCCACCAACCACAAGTACCTCAGCCCTAAACAGCCTAGTGGTCTCTTGTGCATCTGCTGTTGGTGTGAGAGTAGCTGCTACATATGAAGCTGGGGCCTTGTCTCTTAAGAAAGTTATGAACTTTTATAGTGCAGCCCCTTGTGAACCTGGAGCTCAGGCTGGTTCCATAGGCCCGGAAGGTCTGAAAGATAGCAGAGAAGAACAGGTTAAACAGGAATCAATGCAAGGAAAGAAAAGTTCAAGTCTTGTGGATATCAGAGAAGAAGAATCAGAGGGAGGCAGCCGAAGACTCTCCCTCCCTGGATTGTTGTCACAAGGTAAGGAAATAGCCAGGGAATTGGCTTTTGCTGACTAAGATGCTCCTGACATCATGTGCTAGATTGTAATAAATTAGCTTTCCTAATTGCTAAAGTTGACATATTTAAATGTCAAAATTTATTTAATTTTGATCATCATAGATGGTTTTAAACAGTTACTTGTCTTCTCTAGAAATAGCGTGAGAACGTAACTTTTCCATGATGTTTATTTCTGCTTACGAACTTTATTATGAATCTCATTTTGTTGTTCTGGAATGTAGCGATGGCCTCCTTATTTCCTGCCACATAGATGAAGTTGCAGATATGACCATTGGATACCTGAGGAGTTACTCTACTTGACCGAAAAGTAGAGATAATTTTAAGTCTCAATAAGAAAAAACTTCATTTTCTGAAACCTAGCAAGAAATTCTTAGAATATTAAAAATATTACACAGTTGGTCCTTTTATATTTCTTGATCAGTTTAGGATGCTTAGTCATCTAGAATTCTGCTTCTCAAAATGTGTCCTGCAGGCCAGCAATTTTAGCAGCATCTGGGAATTTGTTAGAAATGCAGGATCTCAGGCTCCATTCCAAACCTAATGAATCAAAATATGCATTATAACAAGATCTCTGGGTAACTACTGTGCACTTCAAAGTTTGAGAATTATTGGATTTGACCAGGAGTTGGCAAACTTTCTGTAAAGAGCTAAAGAAATACAGTGATACCTCGGTTCTCGAACATAATTCGTTCCAGGAGGACGGTCGAGAACCGAATTGTTCGAGAACCGAAGCAATGAAACCAATAGGAAAGCGTGACTCCACAAAGCGTGACTCTCTCTCTGCACTCACACTGATGACGCAAGCAAGGCGCGCTGGGCCGAATGAACGCCATTCGGCTCAACTCGGCTCATCTCAGAAGTTCGAGTTCCAAATATTTGTTCGGATTCCGAGACAAAAGTTTCTCGAATCTCCATTTGGTCGAAAACCGAGGCGTTCGAGAACCGAGGTATCACTGTAATTGATGATTTGCAGGCCTTATAGGCTCTATTATATACAGCTACTTAACTTTGTTGTTGTTGCTTAAAAGCGGCCCGAGATAATAGGTAAATGAATGAAAGATCAAAGCTGTATTCCAATAAAACTTTACAAAAACAAGCAGTGGGCTATATTGACACACTGGCTATAGTTTATCAGTCCCTTGTTTGTACCATTTTGTGCAAAGCTCTAAAGATAGGAATCCCAGACTATAATAAAATTTACCTTTTCTGCTCTGCTCGTTCCCTATACTTGTTCTACTTATTCGTTACACTTTCTTGTGCCACTGAGCACTTCTGTTACCTTGCCTCTTAATTCTCATTGCCACTGGATTTTCATCTATGCAGATAAAACCCTTAGCCTTGATTAATTTGAGTGTGTGTGTGTAAAGAAAGCCCATGAATTATATTAAGTCTGAAGGAGAGTCTTGTGCCAAAATTTTCGTATTCTTACATGTCCTTTGGCATTCTGTATTAGAGATCTCTTTGAACCACAAATGTGGATTGTGGATTTTTGTTATACAGAAATGTTATACAGAAAAGAGTTCTGTGGCCAAATGTGTGAAAGGGGCCAGGGTTAGACTGATTTAAACAGGGCTTTTAATTGCAGGACTTATCAGGCACTTTAGCATGCTAATGTATGCGTGATTCTCTACTGGGCAGGTAGTGGGAAGATAGAATGTAGTAGGCAGCATTTGCCAAACTCATTTGACCGTTAAATCTCCATTTTTGCAGGGAGCCTATAGAATATGCTTCACAAAACCATGTTAGTGTATTTCTTTGAAAATCAACAGTTAATCAAAATGATATCCCTCCACCCCTCCCCTGCCTCCAACTCCCATCTACTCCTCACCCCATCTCTGGTTTGTTACCAGTTTCCCCCAGGCTGTTAAGGAAAGCTGCACGGGTGAAAACGCGGACAGTGGTTCTTACCCCTACGTACAGTGGAGAAGCAGATGCGCTCCTGCCTTCTCTGAGAACGGAGGTGTGGACCTGGGGAAAAGGAAAGGAAGGGCAGCTGGGCCACGGTGATGTTCTGCCTAGGTGAGTGCTGCCAGTATTTACTGTTAGGAACTGACTTAAATAACCTCTCTCCTGCCAGGGTGTCTAAATCTTTGTTCCCTCATAAAGGAAATCTGGTCTCTTCTAACTCAAAATTATTCTATACCATTAACTCTGATTTAAAAAACAACTGTTATCTTAGTCTTGAATTTGTTCCTCACAATAAAGGACTTAAGTATCTTTGGTGTACCTTTCCATCCTATCTTTGATGTATAGAGTGGGGCAAAAGTAGGTTTACAGTTTTTTGTATGGAAAATAATACAGAAATTAATAAATACAGTCAAACCTCAATTCTCAAATGTCTCCCATCTCAAACAGTTCAATTCTTCAAGTTGTTCATGGAAAAAATGTCTCCGTAGTTGAACAAAACTTCTTAGGTTCTCAGCGTAACAGCCCTTTCTTGCTGATACATCAGCATGACAAAAAGCGTCTCTCAGGCCACAAACAAAGGAGAGAATGCAAATCAGTTTACCTTTAACATCTCAGCTGACATTGCAGTTAACATTTCAGGAAATTGTACTGTGAATATTAATATGCTTTGTTCTTTTTTTTTTGTGTTTTTTTTTTTACTGAGAGAGATAGAAACATGATGTGAGAGAGAGACAGGGATCAGCTGCCTCCTGCACACCCCCTACTGGGCATTGAGCCCACAGCCTGGGTATGTGCCCTGACTGGGAATGGAACTGGGATGGGACTATGCTCAATCCATTGAGCCATACAGCCAGGCTGTGCTGTGAGTGAGTGAGTGAGTGAGTGAGTGAGTGAGTGAGTGAGTGAATTTTGCTCTTGTTGCTGGCAAAATGGACGATTAGCACAATTTTAAAACATAAAAAGGCCATCAAGAGTGCTAATGTTGCTAAGGGTGTGAAAGAAACAGTGATCACAGGCAATTGAAGAGGTAGAAATACTGTGGTTGATTTGGATAAATGAACAGCAGTTAGCCAGTGACAGCTTTTGGAGGCAGCAATATATTATGTGAAAGCGAAGATGCCCCATGCTGACTTCCCCAGAACTGGTTTGATAAATTTTAGAAAAGAAGTGTTTGTTTGTAGATTAAATAGTACATTAGACATCTACTGTATATAAGAAAGGTTAAAACAGAATCATGTGGGGTCTGGAACAAATTGATTCAGTTTACATTATCTCTAATGGGAAAAAGTGATCCAGTTTTCGAACAAATCTCTTCTTGAATAGCCTTCTTGAACAAATTAAGTTCGGGAACTGAGGTTCCACTGTCCTAATACAAGAATAAACTCTATTTTGCGTACTCACAACTGTAAACTGACTTTTGCCCCACCCTGTACATTCATCTTGGTGTGTTTGGGATAAAGTTGTATTTCATAGGAACACTTGAATCGTTCACATTTTTAACTTATAAAAAAGAGCTAACATTTTTTAACCTGAGACATATTTCTCAATTGCTGCCAGATTAAGTATAAACACAGTATTAAACCATGTCTAATTCATGCACCTCAAGGAAAAACTTGTTTTGTTTAAGAGAAATTCTTATAATAGTAACAAATTAGACATTTGTAAAAGGTGTGTAAATGGAATGATTATCTAAACAGTCAGTTAATATTAATGTCTGTTCTTAGCAGAGTGTAGGCAACTGTAGCATTAAAAAAAAAGACTTAACTTTCCTCTGTGGTTGCATTTCATTGTATCCTAAGTAATCTCTCTACCATATGAATCATTTAGTAGTTTGATGATTTTTAACAGGTTCTGAATTATGGTGGTTAATTAGTGATTGGTAGACAAAGATTAAATGGAAACCATTCAAAATTACTTATATTTAGGAATAGATTGGACATTATATACATCATTTTTATTTCAGAGTTTTCTTTTGAAATGTTTACTATTACTTGGAAGAACTTACTCTATAATTTAAGAAAAGTCATAATTTATGCTGAGAATACTTCCTTTGAGATTGTGTGTGTATGTTATGTTTTTCTTTAAGGCTTCAACCATTGTGTGTAAAATGTCTGGATGGTAAAGAAGTAATTCATCTGGAGGCAGGTGGTTACCATTCTCTTGCACTTACTGCAAAATCCCAGGTAGGAGTAAAACTATTAAAAGCTTACCTTAATTTCATGAAAGGCCAACATGATGAGATTGGACTATTATTTATTGAGTCAGGCAACAAACCTGGTATCTCACTTGATCTTTCCATTGTTTTACATTTCATAACGTTATTTCCATTTTGCAAGTGGGGAAATGGAGGTTTAGAGAAATTATGTAACTTGTCTAAATTCACACCTGTGATAGTAGAGTTTGGATTAAGCACTGGTCTACCTGTTAAAGACTCTTTCTATAATGTCCTCTTGTCTAAAAACAGAACTCAGAACTTTTCAGGGTATTGGTGAATTTCCATAAGTAAGACACTAACAAAGGTGTTTTCTCTGTTAAAATTGTGGGACCTGAAAGTAACAACCAGAATTGCTGAAAGCCAGGACCATGTACATAAACCCTCCTAATAAAAGTCATTTAAGTTACTCTTAACTATACACATGTAATGATTCTTCATCTTTTTAGAAAAAGTCAATGAAGGCGCTTGCTTTAGCAGCACATATACTAAAATTGGAACGATATGGAGAAGATTAGCATGGCCCTTGTGCAAGGATGACACGCAAAATCGGGAAGCGTTCCATATTTTTTCATGGATTGGAAGAATTAATGTCATTAAAATGTCCATATTACCCAAAGCAATCTATACATTCAATGCAATCCCCATCAAAATACCAACGACATATTTCACAGAACTAGAACAAATACTGAAAAAGTTCATCTGGAACCAAAAAAGATCCCGAATAGCCACAGCAATTTTGAAAAAGAGGGACAAAGAAGGTGAGATCACAACCGGATATCAGGTTATACTACAAAGCTACTGTAAGCAAAACGGCCTGGTACTGGCACAAGAACAGGCAGATAGACCAGTGGAACAGAACAGAGAACCCAGTAATGGACCCAAGACATTATGCTCAATTAATATTTGGCAAAGGAGGCAAGAGCATACAGTGGAGTACAGACAGCCTTTTTAATAAATGGTGTTGGGAAAATTGGACAGCTACATGCAAAAAAATGAAACTAGACCATTAACTTACACCATACACAAGAATAAACTCACAATGGATAAAAGACTTAAATGTGACCCATGAATCCATAAAAATCCTAGAAGAAAATGTAGGCAACAAAATTTCGTACATCATCCGCAGCAGAATTTTCACTGATATGTCACCTAAGGCAATAGAAACAAAGGGAAAAATGAACACATGGGACTACATCAGACTAAAACGCCTAAAAAACTTCTGCACAGCAAAAGATACAATCATCAAAATGGAAAGGCAACCCACTGTATGGGAGAGCATCATTGCCAATGACACATCAGATAAGGGGTTAATTTCCAAAATATATAGATTATTCATACAACTCAACAAAAGGAAGACAAGAACCCAATTGAAAAATGGGCAGAGGAACTAAATAGACACCTCTCCAAACAGGACATACAAATGGCCAAGAGACATATGAAGAAATGCTCAACATCAGTAATCATCAGAGAGATGCAAATTAAAACAACAATGAGGTATCACCTCACACCTGTCAGAATGGCTGCCATCATCAAATCATCAAACAACAAGTGTTGGCGAGGCTTGTGGAGAAAAGGGGACTCTAGTACACTGCTGGTAGGGATACAGACTGGTGCAGCCACTATGTAAAACACTATGGTGTTACTTCAAAAAATTAAAAATTGAATTGCCATTTGATCAGTGATCTCGCTTCTAGGAATATACCCTAAGAAGCCTGAAACACCAATCCGAAAGAACATATGTACCCCCATGTTTATAGTAGTACTATTTATAATAGCTAAGATCTGGAAACAGCCCAAGTGTTCATTAGTAGACAAATGGATAAAAAAGCTGTGGTACATATACGCAATAGAGTACTATGCAGCTGTAAGAAAGAAAGATCTCTTATCCTTTGAGATGACATGAGGGACCTGGGAAGTATTATCCTAAGTGAAACAAGCCAAGCAGAGAAAGACAAATATTACGTGATCTCACTTGTTTGTGGAAATATAATGAACATAACAGTCTGAGGAATAGGGTAGACCCAGAGACGTGGAAGTAGGGTACAGACTGACAACCCTCAGAAGAGAGGGTGGTGGGAGGAGGAAAGAGATAAACCACAGAACTTATATGCATGTACGCATAACCGATGGACATGGACAACAAAGCCGGGTATGGAATGAGGGTGATGAGGAGGGTGTCAATGGGGAAAAAAAGGAGAAACATCTGTAACAAAAATAAATTAATTAAAAAAAAATTTTTTTAAAGTCAGTGAAGGATTCTAAATCCATTAAATATTTTATTTTAAATTTCGTATGGTAGGCTAGCCAAAAAACTAACATAGCCTGCTAACAGGCTATATAATAACATACATATAATTATAAATATTAGGAAAGAAAAGGATAATTTATGTTATTAACATGATAAATAATCTAAAAGGCTTAAAAATAAGAGAGGAATGTGGTCAGTTACAAAATAAACATTATAATTGTTAGCCTTTTTATATACCTAAAGTAAAGCAGAAAACATACCATGGAAAGAAGAAACTGTGTAGAGCCCATATGACATAAACTCAAGAACTTGTCTAATAGGTCATAAAAGAAAATAGGAGTAAAGGGAGAGACGTCTTATTTTTAGATGAGAAGATCAGTTTTGCAAAAATGTCATTTCCCCCTAGATCATTAAATCAATACAGTATAAATTCAGTGCAATCCCCAAAATATTCCAGTATAATATTTACAGTTTGATAAAATGATCCCGAAATTGCTCTAGGAGAATAAAAATAGGCCATGAGCCACATAAATTCTAAAAATGAACAGAAAGGAAGAATGAGAATTAGCCATAAAAATATATTGTAAAACTACAAAAAGATCAGTGGACTAGGAATATACCTATAGACTAGAAATAGACCCTAGTTTATGTGAGAATAATAATATATGATAAAAGTGGGCATTTCAAATCAATCGGAGAAATAAGACTAAGTATTCAATAAATACTAATGGAACCACTGGCTTCTTATTTGCAGAAGAAAATTAAAATAACTTTACATATTCAACTTCTGGATGAATTAAAGATTAGATGTTAAAAAATAAAACCTTACATGTAAAAGAACAAATTTAGGTGATTTAAAAAAAATAACCTTAGAAATAGAAAAAGACATGACATTAAAACCAGAAATTAGTAAGATTATATGTTTCTCTACATAATAGTCTACTTAGTAATCCTAAACAGCAAAAACACCACAAACAAAATTAAGATTCATAACACACTGGGAAAAAACATTTATAACATACGTGACAAAGTGTTATTACCTGTACATTAAGAAAAATTGTCGTAGAATACTTATATTGTGTTTACAGAAGAAATAGAAATGGCCAGCAATGAATGAAAATGTGGTCAACCACTAGGTAAACAAATTTAAATTGAAATAACAGTAAAATGTTTTTTCACCTATCTTATTAGCAAGAATTGCATTTAATGCCAAGTGTTGGTGAAGATATGGGGGAGAGGTACATGTCGTGCTGGTGAAAATGTACATTGGACCTTGCTGGAAGACAGTTTGTCAGTATATATTAAAAATCAGAATGTGCATATTTATTGACCCAGAGTTCTTTGCCTAGGAATTTATCCTTAGGAAATAGGTTCACAAATATGTATGTATAGATTCACAAATATGTATATTCAGATATTTTTAATATATTTTTCATATTAAAGATCAGAAAAAAATTATTAATAAATATACTTATTTCATTGGGTAGTTGCTTAAACTATGCCCACAGTGGGATTGTATGTAGTTATAAATAATGTAGCTCTCTGCTTATTGACATAGAAAAATGTCAGTGCATAGCATTAAGTAAAAAACATCAGGTCACAAAACAGCATTAATAGTATAGTCCCATTTTGCACTTTACATTTTATATATACATTATATCTAGTAGACTTTCAGATTTCTGGAAGCATGTATGTGTGTGTTTCCAAAACAGAATAGTAGTTGTATATAAGTGGTGGATTCATCACTGGTTTTCACGTTTTAAAAATTTCATTATACTGTCACAGTCTTGCACAGTGACCATGAATTACTTTTATAATTTGAATTAAAAAAACTATTTTTATTTTGCATAGTCCCTGTGATCTAGTGTTCTTTTGTCTATAGTGGAGCATAGGTACTTGTGTTTCTCCTTCAGTAACTCTTCATATGTGAAAAGGCTTTCTAGTCATTCCATAGTACTCCTATATAAGAGCAAAAAGTCATGATTACTTTTTATTTACATCACTTAACTTTATTTTTTCATCACCTTCTTTGTAAGTAACAGTATAGGATAATTTCTGGGATTAAATCCTGGCTATGCTATTTACAAATTTGTGTCCTCTCTGGGCCAGTTTTCTTATTTGGCAAAAATAATAATTATGACCCTGGCCAGTTTGGCTCAGCGGTTAGAGCGTCAGCCTGCGGTCCGGAGAGACCCGGGTTCGGTTCCCGCTAAGGGCGCGTACTTCGGTTGCAGTTTGTCTCGGGCCCTGGTTGGTCGTGCGGGTGGCAGCCACTCGATGTGTCCCTTCATGTCGATGTTTCTCTCTCTCTCTCCCTTCCTCTCTCTCCCTCCCACTCTATCTGTACAAAAAAAATGGAAAAATATCCTCGGGTGAGGATAAAAAAAAAAAAATAAATAATAATAATAATTATGAGACTGAAACATTGATTAATACATAGAAAGCATTAAGAGCAATGCTTGGCAAATCATAGAAAGTGTTAAGAACAATGTCTGAAAAAAAAAAGAAAAAAAAAGAACAATGTCTGGCAGGTAGTAAACACCTGAAAAATGTTAGTTATTTTTAATCCTTGGACTCTCTTCCTATGTACTCTATCTGCCCGTTATCTCTGGTCTTGTTTAAAATGAATTTCCATAATATCTGTTACTTTAAAGAGTGGAAAGACTAGTGTAACTAATTTATGTGTAACTATTGGTATATATACTATACATATGTTGTTATAAATGTTCAGAATTGACATGCAAAGTCAGATTCATAACTCTTACCTACTTTCCTGTGGTTTCCTAATAGGTTTACTCATGGGGTAACAATACCTTTGGTCAACTTGGACATTCTGATTTTCCTACAACAGTTCCTCGTCTTGCAAAGGTACTTTTGTGAACTTGTTAACTTCTATAGCAACCTAGTCCAGAATTCTAAATTATATACTTTATATTTCTCCATTTCATGTTTAAAAAAAATTAGAACTTTATAGTTGTAACCTAAAGTTGTTTTGATATACTTAATTAAAAAAAATATATATATGAAACCATTTATTTTCAAGCCAGATGTTCTTTTTTTGATGTGTTGTATTTATTGATATGTTACATTTCTTTTCTTCTTAGCTTTCACTGTTCATTGAACATTCATAGTTCTCTTGTCTTTTTTAAAAAGTAAAAAAAATGTTTAAATGTGTTTCTAGGACTGTGATGTTGACTTCTGAACTTGATACTACCAATTGTCTGCTGTTTGACTTCTGACTTAACTTTGACTATTACATACATTATTTGGTGGTGTTATGTCTTGATCTCTTTTGTTATGTTATGTTTTGGTCTCTTTTA